TATAAGAGCCAGTTGACTAATTTGAAGAGATTAAGGAAGTAAGTTGAGTTAGTTATTTGTTCTAAATAGGTGTTCTCTTTCCTAAAACATCCTTATTAATCAAGTGTATTAACTAGAACTCTTATTATTAGAAGGGCTACTTTGAAAAAATATATATAAATATGAGAGATAAAGTGGATTGGGGTCTTATATTTAGGACCAAAATAAAAGTCAAATAGGGTCTTATATTAAAGACCGGAGGTAATATGTATTTATGTAGATGTTGAACTATGCTAGTCAACGTATATTTGAGATTGGGTTATTTAAATTTAATTGCTCGTTTGTATAACACTTAATTCATCTGACCTTAGTTAAACGAGATTAAAAAATGTTTACTGAATTACCAGCTATTATTAGCTCAAAATATATAAAATAATCTGTCGCATAAGCTAACATCATATCATAATAATAAAATCAATATTAATTGCAATTTACTACCTCTTGTCCTAATTATAAAACTTTGTTTGTAGCCTACAAACAAGATCTTATAATTAGGACAGGAGGTAGTATAAAACTTAGTTCAATTAGTAAAACTTATTAACTACATTTGGATGGTGATGCTTCTATCTTTATTTCCTCTTGAGCTCCTTTATCAGGCTAATTTCTCAGAAGCTTTGGCTGCTACGTTCATAATCATGTTAACGACTAGTTCTATCCCATGCTTCATCCAACTTTCACGGGAGTTTTTTTTGTGTGTGTGGAGAAATTGCTTTTCATTCATTCATTCAGAGCAAGAATTAACATTCCCAACCCTAGCCGCGTGTTCATTACAGGCTTGCTCAAGATGGGGACAATATAGCACGTGTTTTCTTACTTTTTTTTTGCTGTTATTTTTTGGTCTTGCTGGTTGTTGCTTCTCTTGTTCTTTTCCAATTTCAGATGTTCTAGGTCGGCCCTTTTATGTAATCATTTTATTTAGGTTAAATAAATTTGTCCTTTTATAAAAATTGATTATTAATAATAAAACTATAAATGCAAAACTTTTTTTAATGTATACCAACGAGGCCCACCATCCCAATGCCGAATATGAACTTTTCAACTTAACTCCTCATGTGTTTGAGCCAATTGAGTCACACAATAACCAATATCTTACATCACACACAAACACAATTGTAATTTAAAGAGAAAGAGAAACAAATGGAGACGAAGAGAACAATGAAAGGGGAGAAGGAAGAGAGAATAAAAAGGAAAGGCATTTTGCTATTCTCTCTATCATTTCATAATTGTAATTTAAGACCTGGTTCCTCCAAGCAATTATACTTATTCAGGTGTATATTTAGCTATTTTACTAATTCAGGAGTCTTTTTTTTTATTACCATTTTTCCTAAAATTAATATTTTAATTAAAAAAATCTTTTATATAAAATCAATCAGATAATGGCAATATGAAAGGGGGAATAATAATAATAATAAGTTGATTGAAAGGAATCTTGGACTAGGAATGTGTGTTCGTTTGATGAATTCAAGAAAGACACTTAGGTTTCTGAACGTTGGTGTCCAAGAAAGGCAAACCATTATTCTTTCCGTTTTGGAGTTATGGCGACTGGATTTTAGGTAAAGACAAAAAGATAAAGATAAAGCTAATTTAAAATGATTTCATCTTCATTATAAATAATGATCATTGGGTTAATTAAGATAATGATAATTACCAAATTGACTTTCCTCAAAAGCTAAAGAAGTTTGCAATTTGAGGAACGGAAGATACTTTTTACACATTAAATTTAGTTTCCTGCTTTTCCAAAATTTATCTCCTCATTACTTATTTTCTTTAGAAAAAATTATTATGAGATCTTAAGAAAAGAATATAATCACACAAAAAAAATCCCAATGATAAATTATTAACAGCATGAATTTATCACCTCAAAGTACTTTACGCTGTATTTTGTTTTGCCAGCTTTTAAATAAATAATTGAGAATTTAATTTTAAAGTCTTGGAAGAAATACAATTATGGCTTGGGAATAGATTACTCTGAGATTTACCATTTTAATATTTTGTGAGAGATTAATCTCTGTTGGTAGAAAATACTTTTAGTTTCTATGAAAAAAAACTCTTAACTTTTTTATTTAAAATAAAAACATTGAATTCTCCACGAATGTATGATCATGGATTGTTCAACAAATAGTTTTGGACCATCTAGAAATATACCAGGCTGATAAAATTTTGAAATAAATATTGGAGATAATGATCAAATTATCCCATTGACTTTCCGGAAAATGACACTTAGAAACTAAACAATCAAAATAAGTGTAAATAGGGACATTGTCAATGGTGGCGGCAAATTTGGGGCAGAAAAATGAGTTAAGTCTAAGCTGTAAGGATTTAAAATTTTAGCATAGTTTCTTTAAAAAAAAAAGAAATTTTATTACCAATATTAGACATGATCTGAAATTCCAATAAGATTACATAATTAAATAAATAAAGAGTAAGCCTGCAATGTGCTTTACAATGTCAATGATGCATAATGAACATTGCGTAACTTTTTAATTTTTTTCCCTTTCTCTTTCTTTTTCTTTTTCTTTATGTGGAAAGCAATCATAAACGAACGCTTCCAAAAATAATTTTTTTACAAAAAAAATCTAAGGTTTACATGTATCCAAAACTATAAGTCAGTTTGGTTGTCAGTTTTCAAATAATTTTTTTGTTTTGAAAGCAAAAGAAATTAAAGAAAAGTATGGTTTAAAAAACTTTTTTGGGTTGTGTTCTAAACAAATAAAAAATATTTCTTAAGAAAGTAAAACATCTTTTTAATGTTTTGTTACTTGTTTTACAAATTAGAAAAGAGTTTGAGAACATTGTATTTTCATTAATTAAAAATATGTTAATAAAGCAATATGTTTTTCCACAAAATTAAAATCCATCATGCTGTTGTTTTTCCTTCTTTTTTTTGTTCCTTTTTTATTTTACGATGATCAAGTGAAAATCTGGATCAGTTTTTTGTCTAAGCTTCGTACGAACAATCTCCTCTGCTATATGAATAACCAAAGGAGATTAGACAAAGAATTCCCATCAATCCATCAACAAAACAAAACCAAACCTTTTTAACTTTCTGATTTTTTTTTTCCTACTAAAGCTTTTTCCTTATCAGAATTACTCGTGTATTTTTTTTTTTAATGAGACAGGCTTGGTAAACTATAAAAATTAATTGCCAAAAATGATTGATTTAATTATTAAGAATACGATTCATACCCTAAAAGAGTGTGAATTTTGAATTATACATTTGTTATCAGTGACTTATTTGTAAGTATTTTCACAAATGTTTTTTGTGTCTTTTGTTTTTTTGGTAAACCCTCAAGATTTAACATTAACTTAGTTAAAATTTATAATAAATGAATAAATAAAACTTGATTTTTTTTATATGGCTATCTCACTAAGTCAGATTTAAGTATTGTTGGGCTCAATTTTCAATAATTTTCATAGAAATTTTTTAACATTCACACATGTTACAATTTAAAACCTTGTTTTTAAACCGTTAAAACTAGGGTTGAGCAACAAGCGGGATGTGCTAGCTTGAAGGTTAGCTCATAGCCCGCCCATTTATAAATAAATGGGCATGGGTTAGCCTATAACTCGGTAGTAGCCCATTTAAGCCCGTATTAAATGGGCTACAGGGTAGCCTGTTTAGGCTGACCTGGTTACGGAATAACCCATTTAGTTTTTTTTTGGCAATTTTTTCAACATAGCTACCTTGTATGCAATCTTGTGAAGCTGTCAATAAATTTTGCATACCAAATGGCAGACCAAATATAAAATAACATCACATAATATCAACCATATTCAATCACACAACCTTACATAGAGTCATTTAATGAAGAATAAAAATATTTTAAAAAATTAAAACTTAAACGGGCGGGTTTGGGTAGCCCAATACCTTGCCCATAGCCCGTCACGTTTAATGGGCTACCTTGTCCATTTAAACCCGCCCGTTTATAGTCTTTTATTTGGATTAATTGAACGGGCTTAAACGGACAAAAATTTATGGGGCCACAGGAGGGTTAGCGGATCATGGGGTTTCTTGCTCACCCCTAGTCAAAACGTGATGTGTTTGTAATAAAACCTAACTTAGATCCTTAACTATGTGAGTGAAAAAAAAAACCCACCTCTGAAATTCCTCAAATGGGGAGTAGTTCTTGCAGGGTGAATATTCTTGGCACACAAAACTAAATGACTTTAGTAGAATTTTTTTTTATTGACTTAGAAGAATTTTGATGCCGAATTCATGAGTACTTCTTTAAGCCCCTGCTTGGTATTTAAAATAAAAAAACATTTATCCAAAAATAAAGATGTAAATTTCTAACACCATTGAATGCTAGCTACTTTTTTTATTTAGGATTAGAAGCATAAAAATTGTTATCCATCTAATTATTATATCTCATTTTAATTTTCTTTTAAAGCGTTGATTTTCCCATAAATGTATAATTGCAGTTTCTAGAAATATAGAAAACTCATGAAACTTTAAAATAAATATTGTAATAATGATCAGAATCAGACTCAATAATACTACGACTTTCATTGTACAAAGTACATACCTACGACATTCTTCCTCTCTTGGCAGATATCATATCTGCTGGAATATATTTATAATATATTAATAAGTTAGTTTTAACATGGTTTACACAGATAAAAAAAATCTTAAATTTTATTAATTTTTATTTAAAATTTAACAACATTTTAATTTTACCCTAATCTAATATATATTATGTCTCATATAAATAAAGTCAACATAATAATAAATAAATAATAACATTATATATTAATATACAAAATTTCTCTTAATGCTTTATAAATAAGATAAAAATATATATATTCTTTCTTTGCCCTGTAGCTAAGACCAAAGGAGTATCTAGCAATAACCGGAAACCTAATTATTATTGTTATTACTATTTCAAATTCCAACAAGATTACACAATTAAATATTAAATAATTAAATAAAAAAAGTACATCAGAAACGTTATTTAACATTTTCCTTTGAATATGGAAATGGAAAGCAGGCATAAGTATTCAGAAACGAAGGCCTCCAAATGATTTTTTTTTTTTGGGGGGGGGGGGGGGTAACAACATCACATGAAATCAGAGTCCTCCGTTTTTAATATTCGTACAGATTCCCTTTTGCTCTGCTGTGAACCCACCAAAGTAGATTGGTCAAAAAATTGAAATCTTTCAACTTTCTGATTTTCTTTAATGCATTTTCCTGATCATAAATCCCTTCCAATGCAAAGACAAACCCTTTCCTTGATTCTTCAGCATCTTTCAATTCAGGCTCTGTCCATTCAACAAGCTCCTTCGTGTATCCCACATTAGAGAATAACACTTCTGTGATTGGTGTTATTGGCAGAACTTGAATCAGAAGTCTGCAAGATCTGCAATCTGCAGAAGCCCACCATAATGTACTGTCTCTCTTGTTAGACCACAAGATCCCCACAATCCTATTCTCCTTCACAAACTCTTCTTCATACATTTTGTTTGATTCTTCCACATGCCACCATGTTTGAGCAGCAAGAATCTCCAGAGCTGTGAGGGTTGAACCAGTGGCCATCAAGTCTGAATCTTCATATACTAAACCCATTAAAGCTGCTGAATAGTAAGCATTCACTGCTTCACTTGTACTCTCTTGGTTTCTGCCATGTTCAAACTCTGTTAAACCAGCAGCCCACGAATGCAAACTATAAAGATCAAAACATCTCAAACGAGTATAATATGGGTTTGAGTTTGATTTCCCTCCCAGGTTGATGTAATCTTCAACTAATGAATAAGCTTGAGGTTTGTGTTTTTCTCCCCAGTCTGGATCGATCTTAGCAAGAACAGCCATTCCGTATATGAAGTAACCTATGTGATAATGATGATCGTTGTAAATCCCAAATCCAAAATCTGCACCTGTACTTGTAGATCCTTGTTTAGTAACAAGTCCTTTCCACTCTTTCTCGCAGAGGAAACCATTTCCTTTGAACGTTCCGTACAGCCATGGCTCGATGGATTGCTTCAGAAAGTTCTTGACTTTTGGGATTACTTCAGGATATGATACTTCCTCTGCTATAAGTGCGAGTCTCGCAGCATTGGCAACATGCTTCCCGTACAAATAAGACGAATTCGTTGAAATGTTTGATGGATTCAGATCGTCCACGTCTTTAACCAGAGCTGAGATGATTTCTTTGCAGGAGTCTTGTTTGATTCCTTTTGTGGAATGCCAAGTTACAGGAATTGGGTTTATTTTTAGAACCCATGAAGCTCCGACGACTCCGACGAGATCGCCGTCGATACTTCTGTACTTGAAATCGTGAAGGATGGTACAATCGCTTTCTTTTTCAGAAAGAAGCTTGAGATGAAGCGGGTGTGCGAGCATAAGCAAATCTCCAGACCTTCTATTCTGAAATTTATACTCAACACGATAGGGTTTCTTCAGAGCGGCGTCCCCAGAAACAGGGTAGCAAGAACTGAATCGATTCAAAGTTTGCTCGGAATTGGGATTCTCGGAATCCGGCAAAGCCGCAATCCGAATGATCCCATAAAACCCCTTACCGGAGGTAATCTCCGACGACGAGGTGCGCCTAAAACGGACCGGCGAAGAAGCATAGATGAGCCACGTCTGGTTGTTATCAAGCCTTATGGTGTGTTTCGTGAAATAATCACTCGACGACAACCACACAATGCCGTGGACGGTGGAGATAGAAAGCGACGTCCGCCGTGTGACCTCGGCGGTGACAAAGGGGCTTCCTTTCACGAGAAAGAATCGGAGATTGGAAGAGGGAAGCTCAAGAGTGACACTGAGATCGCTATAAGACGAGACGACATGTGATATATTAGAGGAACTGCATCGAGAGTTGGATTTAGAGGAGATGGTGAGATCAGGGACGAAGACCTGGTACAAGAGGGCGGTGGAGAAGAACATGAGAGGGTAGGAGAGAGAAAGAGAAGAGTTGGCGGATTTAACGAGGTAAGGATGGAAGTATTCGTGTTGGTCGCCATTGTTGAGGACGAAGTTCTGGAAGAAAGAGTTGGTGGGAAGAGGGGAAGAGAGGAGGTTGGGGGAGAAGAAAGATGAAGGGTCTGGCATTACAGTGGATTGGGTTAAGGGGAAGAGAAATGGAGACGCCATTGATGAAGAAGAAGTAGAAATGGAATTCATTGAACAAAAAGTTATGTGCAGGGCGTTTACAGCTTGAATAAACTTGAGATACCGTAAACGAATAGAAACAAAAGGAAAGCCAGAAAGCCAGAAAGCCAGAACGCCTAGACTAGAGAGTCAGTTCAAGTGGCTACAAAAGTCTTTGGCCCTAATGATGTGATCAGTGAAAGAAACAGCCTAGTTGAGCAGGCGGTAAACGAGAAGTCCTCTCATTGTTGAAAATGAATGTATTGCGCGCGTGCCATAGCTTCCAACATGGAACTCCAAACAGTACACATCACTGAGGGTTGGTTTTCCTGCAACTAAGATTTTCCTGGAACCAGTCTGACAGACTAGTTAAATTGAAGCGCGTCAGGTGTGAGGAAACTCATTATATAGAGGAAGTACGCAGTATTTAATTATTTATTCATATTATTCTTACATTTAACTAGGGAGAATATTTATGAATAAAGGTTGAGGGAACGGAAAGGTATGCTTTGACTTGCCACATGGGGGCATTGGGCCGTATGGCGAGAGTGGAATATATAATGCTGCCTCCCTCAGCAGTTTTGCAGCTTACCCGACCATTTCCATACGCCGAAGGGATCACACCCGCCAAGGGAATCTTTAGACCATCTCCCTTGACCACGAATATATAAATGACACTATTTTTTAGTTTTTAATAAGAGTTAGATAACTAATTTATTGATGTATTTACAAATCATCTATTAATAAGACGTTAATATTAGTAGTGAGATATGAATTCTAAATATTATGGGTTATAAATCAATTCCTTATTAATTGGACAACTATTGTTAGTCATAATTTTGTTAATTAATTTGTGACTTTTTTTGATTGGGTCTGATAAGTATAGAATGCAAAAATTTATATACTCCTTAATCTTGCTTTAAGGTGGAGGACGAAATTTTTTTTGTCCGATTTATTAATCACATTGTTAAATTTTTATATAAATGTATAATTTTACTATTTATTTACTATTGTGCATACTTTGTTCTCATGGAGTATAGTGTATATTAAATAGGGATAGAATTAAAAAGTTATTAAATTTTAAAACAAAGTTAACATGATTTAATATTTTTCTTGATTACAATTAAACATGCTGAGAATGACTTATAAATAAAATCAGATCAGAGAAATAACCTTCAAATAACAATCATCATATGCCATATATACAGTAATACTATTTTTTGTTCTTTTTTTTTTCAAGAAACAACTACTAAAACCACACAGTTTAAAATGTTAATTAAAATTAATAATTGTGCAAGCTATATATATTATGCAATTATATCTTTGTTTGTAACAAGGTATACAAGAGATAATGAATAGAATTTTATTACAAAAAAGATAATAATTGACATATAATTTAACAAGGTTAAAAACAAAAAGATGGGTTTTGTTATAAATATTGTATATATGTGGATATCCATAACTCCCAACTCTTGGGATTCTTCATAGGATTTTTATCTTTGAGTATCTTAAACCCATAACCCCCCAATGAACGACTTTAGAACAATTTTTCATGTTTATTGTCATTATTCCCTTATTCATTTTTTTGTAACTCTTGGATTAGACTTTTATGGTTGGGAGCCTATAAATAGAAGCCATATACAAGGCATTTGTACCCATATATGTATATGAGAAATACTCCTTGTTTTCTCTCCCAATTCTTGTCTTGCTATCTTTTTTCTACTCTCTAACTTCCTTATTTTCATAACACGTTATCAGCACGAGTTTACTCTGAAGATTTGAGGTATGCCCTTTGTAAATTAATATATTCTTATGGTATATTACTTTCTATTAACTTTCCGTTACTCAATAATTCTTTTTATCCTATTATCATTTGCAATTTTGATTTTCTATACATTTGCTATGCATTATGTTATTTATTAATTTATTCTTTCTATACATTTTAATTCTATTACCTCCTCATTGTGATATTGTGTTATTTATTTATTTATTTATTTATTTTTCCATACTTCTTGTTTTATTGTTTGTTTACACATATATGTTTGGTTTATATTATGTCGTTTTATATCTATTACAATATTATATATATAATTATATAATGTTATTTATATTTGGATTTATTTATTATTTATATTTGATTATGAATTTGAATTTATTTAATTTATTTTATTATAGTATTATTTTAATCTCATTTTATTGAATGGCTAGAAGCTATAATACTTTTAATCCTGTGATTAGATGACTAGAAGTCATATCACTCTTGTAATTATTCTTCTGTTAAAGGACACTATGAGTGCCTTTAAATGACATGACAAGAAAAATTTATGACACTTTGATCATCTAATGGTGACAAATATCAAAGTCCTGACGGTTAAATGGTGACAAATATCAAAGCCTCAAAAGCTAATAGTTCAAACATCAAATGGCATAAAAGAGCTTTATTTGAAACATTTTTACTATAATCTTGAATACTAATATTTGAAGAAATTGATTATGTGCTACTGAAAGTAAGGAACATGTCTATAAGAGTGATAAAGAGCATGCCCACATTGTACCGTTGGAATTAATAATTGAATGGCAATAATCTTTGGTTTTAGCTACTGAACCATAATTGAGGAGATATTGATACCTTTATAGTCAAAAACAATTATGAGCAAATGTCATAATATGACCAGAAGTCATATGGACAAATATATGTACCAATCCATTGAAAGTAAATGTTAAAATTGGTTATGAAATCAAAAGATCAAGAGATATTATGTAAAGTATGAAAATGTAGTTATGATGCCCAAGGTAATGTCTTATAAAGAAATATGCTCAAATTAGTCAAAGTTGAAAAATATAATCATTAGTCCATAAGACTATATCCAGAAGGTTATATAATATTATTTTAAATTTCTTGTGATTGATTGATAGAAATATATTATTATAAGTATTTGATATTAAGATATTGATAAATATTAAAAGTAGTTATTGGCCACTTTGAAATGTTAATTTATTATGCCAATTTACTTGCATATTTATGAATGTGAATTGTGAATGTAATTTATTTTCATATCAATAGAATAGCTAAAAAGATGATCATATTATGATATTAGTACTTTATTATGCTATTTTTGCGCAAATTAAAGAGATGATATATTGTTCATATTTTGTTTATTTATATGCTATTTGTATGATCTTAGTTTGAATGATTTATTGTGATTTATTGACAATAAATTTTATTATGAGCATTAGAAATTGTTTTGAGTTTAACTAAATAAGAAATTAGTTGAGAAGAAAAGTTAAGCATTCATAAAATATGTAAGTAATTTTTCAAAAGATATATTTTGAGTATTACAAATTAAATAAATAATATATATTAATGTTAAAAAGTTTTGCCAATAAGTTCAATTTTACACTTTATTCTCAAAAAGTTTATTTTAAAAGATATTTTATATTTTTTTTCTTTTTAATTATATAAGTTTGTTTATAAGAATAAATTAAGCACGTGAAAATGATAATTATAGTTTAAAAATTATGATTATTGGATTAATTCAAATATTATTTAATTCTTTAAGTTCATATATTTTAAAAAAAGTATAAAAGAAAATTGTATATCTAAATTAAATTAGTTTTTACTGTAACATTTGAGAGAAAAAATCATATATTTATGTCGCATTTGAATTGAGAGAATTGAAAGTTATTTAATTTTATGAGAAAATTTATTATAAATAATTGATATTAATTTTGATTGGTTGGACAAAATCATCTTTGCAGTATGTGTAAATTCTATATATATTAGAAGTTAAATTTATGATGCTCATAACTATTTACTATTATGTATTACAATCTTATTAAGATAGATTTATCTCCTTATTCTTATCAAATTACATAGTTCCTGAAGAACTATGTGTAAAAATATTAATATAGTTCCTGAAGAACTAATGTAAATTTTTTTTTTTGGGTAGACAAAGAATTGACAGTGAAAAATATAACCTATTGCTCTACATCAAAACTTCGATTCTCCCAAGGGTCTAAAATTACAAGTATGAATTGATGTTAAATAGAGTTTTACTTATATAAGAAACTTGTTTAGTAAACCAGAAGTTTACTTGCCCAATTAGATTTACAGTTGGTGTTATCTTGTTTGATCATTATGAATCATATATATGATGTAACAAATTATTGATGATTATTATTGACATCCATTGAAGAATCAGAAGATTCTTCATGAATAGATAACATATTATATGATTCAAGATTTCATATCGTTATTGTTCTCAAAGAAAAATTGATTATGTTGATATCACTAGGTATGATGGGGAATAGATCTCAATATTTCTGGAAATATATCAAATTCAAATATATGGGCCCATACAGATAGCATGTAGATCATACAAGTATTCAATAAATTTGATAGATACTTCTATAAAATGGTTACATGTGTTATTATCATGGTGTAACCTGAAGTTTGCAAGAATAATTGAGTAAATCATTATATATATTAAGTGCACATTTCCATAAAAGTACGATCTAGAAAATTTTTATTGCAAACGCTAGTGAGTTCATATCTTAGCTTTTTAATGATTATCATATATTTATTAGAAAATTGTTGAAAAGCCTGCTTAATAGAATGATCAAGCAAAATAATTTATTAAAGCCTCTAGAAGTAGCTATATCAATACTTTTGAAAACAAGATCTTCATTTCAGTGTTGACATATTTGATTTAACATTTTATAGCACTTTTACATATCAAGCCAACAAATTCTCCCAATAAAAATTGGCTTTTGGTCAGGAGCCAAATATTTCCATCTTAAAAGTTTAAATGTGCAATATTGATTATTATGAGCCCACCACAATGCATATAGATGGATATTTGAAAAAAAAAAGTTGGGATATATGTTGAAAAAGAATCTCCTTCTTGTCTTTAAATAAAATGAAATGATGTTTCTAAATGAAACAAATGAATTTAGAAGACTCATATGGTATGATTAATGAATTGTTATTCAACAAAGTTTTTTTAACATGAACAAAGTTTTCCCAACATGAGGGGGGGAGATTGAATAGCTGGAAAAGATAACATATAGAATACATTATTATTATCAAGTATAGATCCTCAGATATATGATGATATGAACCAGAAATTCATCAAAGAATGCATTCATGAGATATTACAAAA